TCTTACAGCCAAAACCCATGGCATATACTCAACCCATATACTCAAGCACAGCTCCCATTCACCTAAACTATAATTTTCTGGGAATGAAGACTTGGTGGGGACCACAAGATTTAGCTCTTCTGTGGCTTCTCAGTTACCTCTAACCCTCCTGGATAAAGAATTACCTACGTGCTTGTTGTTTATAGCAGTGAGGTCTTGAAGAAACCCCACAATTGCTTGAAGAGAAAATGAAGCTAATAAATTTTATGGATTAAATCAGCCTGTAAGTTCTATGATTTTATGTTTTGACCTTCTTTTGGTTATTACCTTTTTCATCAGCAGTTTTTCCCGTATGAGCATACTGGATTTATACATTTGTCTTTGCGAGCACACCCCCGACTAGGAGAAGCTGAAAATTTACTTCATGTTCTCATCCTTCTGAGGTGGCACAATTTATCAAGGCTATTTTTCTAACCTTTCATGATTTTTGGGACATTCAGGAATCAAAGTGGAAAAGAACAGGGCCCTGTGTTTTGAATGTACAGCTTGCATTTGTGGAGAGGCTTTCACAGAGGCAGTCACTTACAAAAAGGCATTAGGGACTAATATTGGCAAAAGCAGAGAAGGGTAAAGGACGCATCTATTTGCATAGGAAGTTTGTGTCAGACAGTGTGTTTTTCTCCCTGAGCTCTGTCATGCTCAGGGGCCTTTCTGACTCTGTTGCTTTAGTGCAATCACCAAAATTTGCAGTGAGGACTAGGCAGAGGTTTTTAGGGGATCAGATGTTTGAAGCTCATGCTGTTGGAGAGGACAGGGGAGCTTTGAGTGAATTTGACATTATACTTCTGCCATATGCTCTGGGGACATCACGTTGTCATCTCTTCCTGTGACCAAGGTGGACCCACCTTTGGACACAACAGATGTTGAAGCAAATAGCTTCTGCCTTGGTGGTTTGCACCTGCAGTATGGGCTCCACATCAGTAGTTTTGGACTCCTCCAGAACTGAAGAGTGTCAGGAGTTGTGATTCAAATATCTCTTCTGCTTTTACTTTCTCCATCTCTTGATATGCCTGTCTTACAAAAGTCACCTTTTTTAAGTATATGTGTACATAATTACTGCTACTAGCTGTAGTTGCAGTTGCTGTTGTCTGGCTAATGCTCAGGCTAAGAAGTATTCAAATTTGCTAAAAGGACTTTTTTGTCTGTGAGTGTGAAACTGTGTTGACTAAAAAAAATTCTCTTTCAGAAATCATTTGCTAATCTCCCAATGGCTTTCAGTGATGAGCTTGACTGGCCCCAGTTCTCAGAGATCACTGGATTTCTGAATTCCACCATCGGGTAAGCCAACAAACAGGGTGGCCAAGTCATAACAAGTTTCAAGGTCCCTCAAAGCACAACAACAAAAACCCACAAAACAGTACTCGAAAGGCAAGATAAAAATGCTATTCAGCTCTGTTTCTGTGCTTTCTAAAATCAAGATCGACACTGGATCTAGGGATTTTAAAAAATACTTTAAATATCTAACCAAGTCTTCCTGAAATTCTGGGTAGGTTTTAGAGCCAGTCAAATTGTAATTTAGAAGGAGAAAAACATCAAAGAAATAAAAAATAAACTCACAGTTTACAAAATTCTGGGAAAGAGAGAAGAGGATCATTGCTGAAACTTGTAGAAATCAGCATTTCCCTTTTCTTAATGTTTCTAATCTTTCCCTCTTCCTCATGGTTCCTTTTTGCTGGTGTAACAGTGGAATAAATGGTAACCCCAGGGTCATTTCATAGTGTTCCTTTTGGGAGAAAAAATCCTTCTCCCTCCCACCCCTTGTTTTTGTTTTTAACACATTTACAGGGAAATAGCAAAAGAAGAAGTTGAAAGAGTCTGTGACCTAATTCACTGTGTAAGTTTGGCTCATGTGGATGGGGAAGGTTTCAGGGATAGATGAAAAAAAAAAGAAAGCTTTGCCAGAAGTGGAGGAAAATAAAGTCCAAACACAAAACACCTTGAAATGCTTAGTCTCTTAACTGTGAAGTTAAAAAAAGTTTTATTAATCTGTCTGGCCAGCATGAAGATGCCTTTGAATCCTGCCAGAGCTGTAGGATACAATCATCAACAGTGCCTTGTCTGACCTGAGTGTCAGATACTTTTTATTTTATGTGTCTAAGATAGGTCAGGATGCCAAATCAAGCATGAGTCAAGCCTAAAGAGGCTCTCTACCAACAGAATTTAAAAAATTGGCAGAATATATTCTTTTCCAGGAAAAATATCTGTTGCACCATACACTTGTACTTTTTTGCTTCCTTTTTTCTCCCTATGCAAACTCCCAGCTCCCAGCCTCAGCTACATTCACTGCTTTAAGGCAGTTTACTATTTGACAAGCCAACAAGGAAGATCTATTCAGCCTCCTCTTTCAGAGCCGTAGCAAAAGTGACCTTTATAAAGCTATTACAGTGTCCAGCTACTCAATACACTTTGAGTGTACATAGTCTGGGCTCCAAAGCATCTGAAGTTCACAAGTGATCAGAGCTTATCATTGACCCTGAAGTTGTCGGTGATGAGGCTTGGTCCAGTGCTCAGTTTTTAATCTCTTTTTTAATCCCTTCCATGTCTGGAATTAAAAAAAAACAAACAAAAAACAAAAAACACAACAACAACCAACTAAACAACTGTATGGGACTTCAAGGCATCTTTAAGAGAAGTAGCTCAAAATCCCCTGCCACAATGACTAAGTGTGATGGAGACCAGCTGGCAATGTGCAGTGGGAGGTTCCCAGTTACTCTGAGCCTACCCAAATAGAGAGATAAACTGGTGCGGTCGATAACCATCTTTCTTACCCCCTGTTGGGTGATCAGGGACACTGCTTTTTATCCAATCTCCTCTGAGTGAGAAGATATGTTTGCTTTTGTTTGTTTTCCTGCCTGCTGTGCTGAAAACCAATGATCTCGGGCATTTCTTGCATAGCCCATTGCATGGTGACTGGCTGATGTCACCTCTATGCAGGTAGTTAGCTCTTGTTGCTAGTTTAAAACTTGTAATTGTCTTCTTATTCTCTGCATTATCCAAGCTGATTGTTCTTAAGCCATGATATTTAAGTTACTTGGTTTCTTTGGTCTGTCAGTTCAAAGACAAAATCAGCAGCCAGATAGAGATGACCATGCACTCATGGCTGGGAGCACAGTCTCCTCATCAACCTTTGTGCAGTTACCCTTTTCATTTGCTTTCTCATTTTTCTCAAGAGTGCAATGTAAAGGACAGAACTACTCACAATCAAGCATTACCTGTTTTCAGATGAATCTGTCCAAGACTTATGGCATTGGGAAATGATTGCCCTGCCAATATTTCTTCTCTTTTACTTACTGTTCCATAACAACCAATTGAAAAGTCAAGTAGTGAACAATCAGCGGGATTGTGTTGATAAATGATGTATAACAAAAAGGTTTTTAAACACCTTATCTGAAAGACCAGGATAAAAGCATCCTGGATGGAACAATGTCAAAGAAACTCTCCATCGATTTATAGTTTCTCAGAAGATATCTTGGCTTCATTTTAGGCCACCCTGTTCAAGATTAAAAAGATTTATGGCCACAAAAAAAAAAAAAAAAAAAAGAGAGATGGTGAACTAGAAGTATATACATAGCTGGGATGCAGAGTTATTCAGAGATGAGGACATACTTAATTTTTAGTATCAGCTGTATTTTCATCAGTATCATATGAGTTTAGCAGTTTACATCTTCTCAATTTATTTCAGAGGCTGGACAGACTCTCTGTACCTACGTTTACGCAGGAGAAATCGCTGCAATCACAGAGACTTACAGAACATTTCACAAAACGGTATGTTAACATTTTTCACTTTTTGTTGTGGTTTTTTTTAACATTACTAGTGCTGATACATGATGCTGCATTAATGAACATCTCTCCGAAACAAAGAGAAACCCCTTCCTAATTGCATGCATGTCTTATAGAAAAATAGGGAATAGCACTTATTTAACGCAGTACCTTTTCCTCTGGCTCTGAGCAGGAAGGTGTGTGGCTTGATCCCTTTTATCCCCTCATTATGAATCTCCACTGGGTTAAAACCAGCGTACCCCACTGTAACTTTGTGGAGGCTTTTTTGACTATGGCCAAAAGAGGGGATTTAGAGGGATGTCACTAGCAGTGATGGAGCTAAAAAGGCTGCCCTTCATCTCCTCCAGAGGCTGTGGCATGGTGTCCACTTTCTTGCACCCCCCTGCTCTGTACTCCTGCAGGGAATGTTGAGAGGGCCCTACATTGCACCCCACAGCAGCACAGAGGACTCATGGAGCTGCCACACCATAGGCACAGAAAACAGTCATCAATCTTATAGCAAAGGTGTCCATGACATCCTGAGATGTCCTTCGGTGACCAACAATCAGAGGTTCTCCTGCAAAACTGGGGAGGTCAGGTGCAGGCATCTTAACGTGTTCTTAGGACTGATTTTGAATAAATAATCAAGGACACACAGGTAAACCAAAATTGGCACAAAACCGAACATCTTCTTCCTATGAAATAACATATATATATATGCATATAAATATGCAGTAGACCTGAGCTACCTAGAATTAAGGAAAGTGTCTTGCATGGTACTTCAGCATGCACTGAAGAAGAGGAAGGTTAGTACACGAAATAAGAGGTGGATAGAGAACCAGCTAAGCAGGGAAGAGCAGTGGGTTTGAGAGAGAAGCTGTGTCCTTCATGCATCTCTCCTGAGGCTAATGATGCTTAACATTGGGAGTAGTGGTCTTAGAGAAAAGACCAAGGTGTATTCTTGATGGCTTCTGTGAATCATGCAAAATTGCAATGTATTAACCATCCTGGAGCAATCTACATCCTTACACAGGAACAATTTAGATGAGCTTGGCAACAGCAGTGACAGCAATTGCAGCAAATACCATTGTACAAGATAAAGACCTCAGAGCTAATAACAAGACTCTTGTCTGTAAACTAGTGGATCCTCATGCAGAGGTGGTGAAGAGAGAGAGACATTGGAGTGCATGGGGGAATTTCAAGGAACAGCTGGGAGTGCAGAATAGAGCTAGTAAGAAACTAAGGAGGTTGCAAGATGCATCACACACAGCATTTTCTCTAGAGATAGCCCTTCCTCATTGAAGTCACTGATAAGACCTCAGAATTTGGTCTCCTTTGCGTAGGGAGGACTGAGTTCGGTGGGAATCAATATAGAGAAAGGCTTTGGGGAGGATTAGGGTAATGGAGATTTCTGAAGGGATGTTAACACACCTTGGCATTTGAGCAAAACAAAAATTTGAATCTTTTTGAGGCATAAGCACCACAGAGTAGGAAGAATGGTTTAAACTGAAGGATAATTCTGGTACAATAACATGGGTTTTCGTTAATCCTACCTCTGTTTGGAGGGGAAATTTAAAAGAAGGTTACTATCAAGGAATGAAAACCTAGAATAGACCTCAAAACAGAGGAATGAGAACAAGGAAGAAACCCTGAGTTGTTTCAAGATACAATTTGATTTAATTTGCCAAAGGGGTTGTGTGAACAGATGACAGTAATCTCCATTATAAATTGAGGTTTATAATGTTAGCTTTTTTGTCTTGGATTAGATGATGTCCCAAACAGCAGGTTTAAAAGACACTTGATTATGCTGTGATTATCACATTGTATTTCTGTTGTATTTAATTAATTTTCATGCTTCAGAAAACTGGCTGCAGAAGCTTGGGAAAATTTATTCTCCTTGGATAGATAATTTGGCTATATGGGATGCTATTCCACTCCAGCAGATGAGTCATATCAGCTGCAAGTGAGGAGCACTGCTGCCCTTAGAGCTACTTAGAAACTTGATAAAAACTTGGGACTTCCTGCAAGATTTAGGATCAGAAAAGGTCTGCCCCACCCCCCCATCTCTGACAGAGATCTTACCAGGTAGAAGAGGTTGCCCAGACAGGCAGCATAATGTAAGGATCACTTCCAGGCTCAGGTGGGTATTTTCACCTTAAAAATTGCCATCTGGTGCCATCACCAATGCCACTGGCAATGCCTCTCATATGTGGTCCTCCTTCACATGGCACACATGATGCTCCTGAGGCTTTAGGGCTTCTATACAACTCTTTCACAATGTGTTTGGTGTCATTGTTCGAGTTCTTCTGACTTTCTTGCCTGTAAGTTGCACAGTAGCAGAGTTGATGGCTCTTGTCACTGCAGTCCTCCAGGTGTGCTCTTTGGTGAAAGAATAAAAAAAGGGCCAAACTAGATGGCCATGGATGACTAGGTGTTGATGGGTTTTCCCATTTATATCTAGTTCATCTCAGTCCCCAATATCCTAATTACCTTGTTCTGCTCTCTTTACATTAATGGGAGTTGTACCTTTTGTGTTTCCTTTTCCCAATTCCCTCATAGACTACGTTTTTTAAAGAAAATAATCTCTCACTGTGTGCATCATTTCTTTTTCTCTCCATGTATCTCCTTTCCACTTACATTAGAGACCTGCAGGATATAAAATGGGATAAGCCTGTGTCAGGGCAAAAGACTCTGAAGAAAATTGAGAAGGGAATTTTAAAAAGGGAAAAATTACAAGTCAGAGAAAAATCCCAGGATATCTTCCCTTGGTATCTGCTCTTAATCATCACACTGACACTGCATTGTAAAGGTTCACTTTTATTGCCTCCTTTGGCGTAATAGTTTCCCTGAATGGGAGGATTTTAATAGCCACTCTGAGTGTCAATAGAGCAAAAAGCTGGTCACCAGCCTGACCTAGCCCCACCTGGGGCAACTAAACCTTCATCTGAAAATGATGGTTCACAGCCCCACATGTATGCAATGACAGGATGAGCCACTAGAGATGCAGATCTGGTGGGGGAGTTGTGCAGCCAAGAGCTAGAGCCCAGGGATAGCAAGCCAAGCCAGGGGCCAAGAACATTGCTCCTCTCCAGGCCCCCTACAAAAATACCCGTGCTGTGTCAGAACTCAACGAGGAGGGACTTTCCCCCATGGCCCTACTCAGGACATGCATCTTCACCCTGGATAAAAGCTTTCCCAACCTCTGTGCTAGTAGGATTTCTGTCTTCCCTTTCTTAAAAAAAATTCCCATTATTCCCTGGAGATGGTGGACCTTTCCTTCTTCTGCAGCTGGCTGTGGGGCATGGTGCTCAGCCAGGATCATGGAGGGTGTCCTTCAGCTGTCTGTGTATGTTATCCATGAACCATGATTATGTTCACATTAGAATTGCTGACATTCATTTTGAGTGTCCTGTTTTCCTCACCAGGCACCCCACAAAATGATTGGTATATGAGATGTAGGTTAATAATTCATAACAAATCTGTTCTACTGTTGCACAATGAGCACCTCAGAGTCATAATCAATGTTTTCCATCAAAGTGGCTTGCTGAACAGTTTTCTGCACATAATTTTTATTGGTTCATTATTTTCAGTATGGTTTTGGTGTGTTGCCTTCCAGCAGCTTCACACAGGTTTGTAATCTCTGTGCCATTTCTGGTTTTTGACTGGGTGAGTGGGATCTTCAGGTGTGAGGGCTGGGCATGAATGCTCAGGTGTGGAGTTAGAAAGTTCTAAATATTCTCCAGCACTTGTTGAAGATCCTTTGTTTTGATAGAAACATCCAGACAGTGAAATCAGTTGCTAGAATATAAAAAAAAAAAAGTTAGATAAACACAGGAAAAGTGAATACCCTCAGAATTTCTAAATAATTACAGGACAATCTTACATTTGTCATCCATGTTTTGCATGAGATACTTGGATAATGTAGGCTATTATAAAACATGGGTATTGTATGCTCATTTACCTTTTGTAGTCTGATCTGTCTCTTTGAGGTTCTTACCTTTGACCAGAAGGACTAGGCCATAACATGTGCAATGGCTTACTGAGCCGTCGAGCACCAGTTAGCTCACATTGGCTCCAAAACCAGTTAAGATCTCATGATTCTTAATTTTTTTCATCATCTCCCTTGGGAATTCTAGTCCACCTGGAGTTCATTTGGGGAAAACCAGAGACATTTGTCTTTGCACCATTTTATTTCCAATTGCTTTTACAACATAAGGGAGCAAAAGATTAGAAGTCAACAAGTCGTTCTTGTCCACCCAGCACTTTTGGTGCTATCTGGGCTCAGGCTATTTTGGTGCACATTAGTGTTGCTCCTTGACAGCCATGCCAGGTTTAAGAAAATAAAGAAGTGCATCTCAAGTATTTCAAGGTTCATGAAATTTGGTGCTGCTCACGATCAGAAGCAAACCCAACCTTGATTCCTCAACCAAAATGAAAAAAATCCCAATGGTCTGAACATGTTTGGAAAGCAACAGAGAGGGAAGCAGGAGAGATACAGGGGTAGTTTCCAGGACATTCAACAGTGTATCTGTTCTGCCTCATCTCTTTTCTCTTTCAAATGTTTTCATCACAGATTGCATCCTGTATCACAAAAGCTTCCTTGAGGGCTCAGTTTAAGCATGTAACTGTTTTCTAAAGAACCCCTTCATTGTCTTGATGTTTTGATTTGTAACTGTGCTAATGCTTTCCACAGAGCTGCTTATAACTCCCTATGCTTGTGGAGGTAATATATACCCAAGAACAGCTTATTGCTTTTTTGTAGATACATTTTTAATTTCTAGAGATCCCACTATTTTATTTGTGCTGGAACTGTGGCCCCAGTCCAGGGAACCATGTGGCACAATGGCTTTAACAGAGGGTGTTGAACTCTAGAGGAAAGAAGGGTTATTAAACAGAAAAAAAAATCCACTGTTGGTAGCTATGTTCCAAGCCATATTTCCTCAGGATTTTGTGGGGCTCTTATCCTGCTGAGAAGAGCTTCTCAACAGAAAAACTGGATTTTGAATGGATCAGCAACCCTCAGGAGAGAAGTCACAGACAGATATATTCATTTTTAGCTTGGAAGAACTGGATTATTTAAAACATAAAGGATTCCTTGATATATGCGGTTGGCATCACTGTGAGTGATGATAACAAAGGCACTTCTATTAAAATGCAAAGTGTATTATTGCTACCTTAGGGGTTTATCTCTTAGATCTTTCCCCTATACCAGTCCAGCAGGGATTTAATGATGTTCTGTCCACAAGTTTCCCACCCAAGAGCTGCAGGGAGGACAGGATTTGCTCCTCAAAGCAAGCTTCAGAAGCACAGTGCAGAAAAGAGACAAGAGAGGCCAGGGAAGACTTGAGCTGAGAATAGACTGAGTGTAATGCAAGAGGGGAAGGAGCAAGGAAAGAGGAGACAGTGAAAATAATGCAAAATAAAAGAAAGTACTACCTGTAGAGCCTGCTTGTCTGAAGTTTACGTTTCTGTACATTGCTGTGAGGTGAGCTTCTTGCAGTCACGGCCCTTGAACAAAGCACAAAGTCTATTTTGGCTCCTTGTTTGCTATCACTCTTACACTGCAAGTCATGGAGTTTGAGTTGTGTGCTGGGGATGGTTGGGATCTATATGCATAGCCTTTAAAGACCTGCTAGTAAGTTTAATGCATAAACGTTTTACTAAATGGGAATGCTTTTCTCATTCAAGACATAAATGAAAATCACAGATGCTTACTGATGCACAGGTGTAGCCAGCCAGCTCTTTTCCTCAAGGACAAAAGATTTGCATCCAACCCTTTGGGTGAATTGCCACTGAAATGCAGAGCTTCTTAGGATGGGTGCAGCTGGTCTAATACTATTTTTTGTAAGCCTGACACTTGTGAGGAGAGCCACACAGACACTCAAGCATTGTTGTCTACAGCAATTTAAGGTGCTTTTCAGTATCTTTCCCACCTCCAGCTGTCTCTCCAGAAGTGCACATTCTCTCACACATCCTGTTATTTATCTGTCAGCCCTGCTGCAGGTGTCCTGGATACTCTGGGATGTCAAAAATGGCACTTGATGCCTATGTTTAGGACCTGAATCACTCCCAATGTGGCATAGCTGTGAGACGCTTACTCTCTCAGAAGAGTGAGAACAGTTCCCTTTGCAATTTATAGGGAAAGTTAAAAGTAGATCAACTGTTGACAAGTCAGGTTGGCTGGTTTACAAGAGACTACTATGTTTAACAGATGGAAAGAAGCTGCCAGATCTGGATTAAAAGCCAGATCCAAACAATCCAGCAATTAAACGTATTTGATTTTCTACAGTCTGATATGTGGGACTCAGGAAAGAGGCAGCAGGTCCCTGGATGTAGCTTTACTTCTTAGTGCCAGCACCCAGAAAGGCTACAGAGATGACTTGTTGTTCCATTATTTATTTTCAATGCTTCTACATTCTTGGAAATATCAATGAATTTGGGGTTTGCAATTTGTTTTGTTTGTCACTATAACAATGTTGTACTATTTCTCTTATTCCCACTACATGTGACCAGGTGGCTCTTCAGGAAACCTCCTCTATTTAATAAAAAGGTGAGTATTTAATGGGATTCAAATGCTAAATCAGGTTACAGAATCATTGATAGAGTCCTACTTCTTTGAAAGAAACAAGCTCTCTAAGGAATGTATTATCTGTAGATAATAATACAATATAAAAATATCTGTGTTCTAAGAAGCATAGATTTCCTTGACCTCTGTGCTCTGAAGTAGTGACTGTTTATTCTCTGGTATAAACATTTGTCAACAAAAGCTGTTTTCAGGTGTGGATGTCACTATCTCTACAGCCTTCAACGTGACTTAGTTAAGCCAATGGAGCTTTTCCAGTGATTTTAGGGAAGAGACTAAGCCTTTCCATAAATCTGTGCTTTGTGGCCTAACAGTGTATAGCAACATAGATGGACGTGGGTAGGTGGACTCTTATCTCCATATGAATATAACTGAGTAGCTACTGAATAGTGAGAGGCAGCAACTCTCTTTTTCATCTGAATTTATGTGGGCTGTGGGTCAGTTGGGTTTGATTTAGTTTGCTTGATGCTGATATAGTTCATATCCTAAGGGATTTATTGTTCTCTCCTCTGGAAAAAGGAGTAATGAATCCTTGCCCTCCAGCACTGAGCTTCAAACCACATCCTGATTTGATCTTGATTTCAATGCTACACACAGACTTAGCTGTCAGCCAAACATAGTCTTCCTCTCCCATCTCTGATTAAAAACTTTCCATCTTGATTCATGTCTTTCAAATTGAAACTACTTGATTTGGCTTCTGAATAATATAAAAAGATAGAAAGTCAGGAGGAAAAACAGTGAAAAAGACAAGTCCACAGGGGGCAAAAGGAAGACGTGAAAAAAACTGTTTTCAAGATACTTTACTAAAATATATAAAATTATAGTGAAAAAAAACCCAACAACTCAACAGAAAAAAACCCCACCCTTTCCCAAACATAGGAGCATAGTCATCTGAGCACTGGCCATATCCAACCAGGCTACTTCCAAATGTCATCTCACACAAGCATAGTGTGTCATTCAGACACTGTTAGCTAATTTTCCTATTAATATAGCTGCATATTTATCTTTTAGCTTGGCCAGAAATCAGCTGTTGGACAATCCAGCCATAGTTATCTATGCTACAATTGGGAATGATGTCTGCAATGGGTAAGGTGTAAACTAAATGAACATTTATAGTCACATAATTTTGACTTCTTTAGAGCACCTTAGAGACTGCTTGGACATTTGTGTCTCATTGTGATGCACTTGTCTATGATGGCATTTGTCTTTGCTGTTGGTCTGTCGTTCCTTCTTAATTGTCTGCTGAAAATACTGGTTATTGCATTACCTGCATTTGTCTTCCTTTCTTTCTTTTATAAAACAGTGACCAATGGCATGCCTGAAGTAATTATTTCTAACTTAGGAGAGAAAATGAATAACAAAAAGAACAGGAGGGAGAAGAAAAGGTTTAAAAGCATGTATATCCATCTTACCCAGTGTGTCACCTCCTGTCAGGAAGGAGAGCATGACTGATTTATCATTTCTGAACAATGACAACATAGTCCCCTGTCGAGGTGTGTTTTCACCCTGCCTCTGCTGCACGCTGCCTGCAGTTTTTGCTGTGGTCTCCTGATGAGGTGTTTTGTCTTTGTGGCTTTATTCACGTCATAAGCTCTGCAGGAGAATGAACTGAAGCTTTCAAAACTAATAGTCCTGGCATTACCCATTAGCAATGCTCATGGGGATGCCAGGAGGTCCCTAGTTGGATACTTCCTTTCCTCCCAGAGGTGAGAAGGCAGAAAATGCCTTGTAACCAGGCCAATGCACAGCACATCTGTACTGCAGTTTTGGTTTTGCAGGGGGTCTGAGTGCTGTTGCTAGCGTAACATTGTTTTCACTGTGATCATTCAGTTTTTCTTGTAAGTGGAAGAAATAAATCTGACTTATGCAGAGACTTTCAAAACACTCATTTTACTAAATGTCACATGCTCAGCTAAGTCTCCTTCCAAAGGCTTTGAAAAGTCTCACCTGCAGGTTGTATAATGAAGTTGAAGCTATTATGCAGGCTGTCAGACTTGGCCATTGAAATATCCTGGGTTTAGCATCCTAAAACTTTGCTTAACAGGAAGTTCATGGGTTGAAACTTTGCTCATCAGGTGTTGTGCTCCAGATGAGGATGACCAAAAGCCAGGCAGGGCTTTCCCTGACACTGCAGCACCCAGCAGCCCTCAGCCAGGGCAGAAGTGGAACCACAGGGGCCACCTTTTAGGTCCTTCCCTGGCATCACTGTCACACTAGCCATGTGCAGGCAGCACACAGAAATAACCTGGTGCTCGTGGTCTCTCTGCACACCTGCCCGGAGTTGCCATATCTGCCCTTAGCATCCCCCTCCTGTTAGGAGAAGGAGACTGCCTGAGTGGGAAAAGAGTGACAGGCCTCCTGCTACTTGCTGGCAAGACTGTCCTGGGGATCTGTTTACTGAAAAGCTTATGGAAGTATCATTATATCCACCCCAGGATGACAAAGCCCCCTCCACTCACCCCCTCACCCCACCTCCCAAAAAAGAACAAAGCACCTTCTCTGAAGTCTGGGTTCTGCCATGGAGACTTTCAAGGTGGTTTCTCCCAGGCTTGCCCCAGGCTCTGTCGTGCACATATTTACATATTTCAATTCTGCTGTTTCACTGCCTTTTCTAAAAGCAGCTTTTTTTCCTTTGTTTTATTCTTTACTCTGGAGATTATTCCTTTTGCTTGCCCTTTCTAACACTGCTTTCTACTATTGCCTGAAGTAAGAAGAAATTTTCCAGGAATTTAAACCATTTGACCTTGCCTCCACTTTTTGTATATCCTAAAACCTTCCAGAACAGTATTTATTACTTACTTGAAATTCTGCTGTCTTTTATCCCAGCATCTATTACCTGGCAGAGACACTTTTGTCTGGTCAAATTCTCACTACTGTTTTCTAACTGTTTTCTTCCAAAACATTTGCAGCATTAAAAGAGGTTATCAGGCTGTAGTGATCCCTGTGACTCCAGCAAGGAAAGATGTTGCATCTTCTGTAGCAACGTGCTGTTTCCATCGAGAGGGATGTAGTGGAGAGAGATTTTTTCAGTGTCCAGTCACTGCAGGTGTAGCTAACCTGGCTCTGATGTACCTACTGAGGTTATGGAGGATGCAGAGCATCCAATGGGCTTGACTTCAAACCTAGGGCTTGACAAATAAAAACCACTTCAAGGACAGCTTTAAACTGCAGTAATAGAGCCTTTCTGGCCTTATCTTGTGTTTTATTGTCAAAAGAGAGGAGTGTGCTGAGCACACTGGAGACATAGCTCTTAGCCAAAGGATTGTTCAATTGTATTTCATCCCATGCAAAGACTGGGGCAATAATCTGGATGTTTGCAAAGGCAAAAGATAATGAAATTGGCAGCCTGTGTTACACATCCGCAGTAGTCTCCACACGGCAGTGTCCAAATGGGGGGGGCGGTGTTTAGAAAAATAAAGACAGATGGCAATGTTATCTCTCAGCCCACTGAGGTGTAAATATGGGACACAGAGACCTAGAACAAAAAAAATCAGGCAAGAAAATAATGGGCACCAGAAGTCTCAAATGCTGTACAATTACTGCACATATTAGATGCTTTTGGGGTAAGGCACCATTTCTCCAGCCTCTCCTTTGCAGCTCTGCAGTTATGGAACCTTCAACAAACAGAAAGGTGACAGCAGCAAAGTGAGTTGAGCAGGCACTCACTGGGAAAGGAACTCGTACAAAGTGGCACCCGTGCCAACAAGAGCATAATGGCAACCTTATTGTAAGGCTATTGTCACCAAAGAGCAGCTGCACCCCTGCAGCCCTAAAAGCAGTACATGAGTGGGCAGCACCTCTATCCCTCATGCTCTGGGCATACCACCCCTTTGCAGCAAGCTGGAGCTGAACTGCACTATGAATCTAGCTCTGCGTGTCTGTGCACGTGCCATGTGTGAGTGTGTGCATGTGGCATGCTTGCATCCCAGCTGGCCCTGTGTGCCAGGGGCCCAAACCCTGGGCAGGCTGCAGCATGTGGCTGGAAAACAGATGTATTGCTGATACATTGGATGGGGAGGTATTTATTTGGGGTGGGGTTACGAGGAGGGAGAACTGCTGCCCTGCAGGATGTGGCAGACCCGGTGCACAAACACCATGCAGAAGGTGGGTGGAGAGCTGTGTTTGGACTATGCCAGACCCTATTACAAGGGACTGGAGGAGGTCTCTGTGACAGAGGAGAGCTGGAAAAGTTTAGCACAGATTGCATGAGGCTGTCTGGTCCATCTGTGCTATATGTGTGCCCATGGTTTTAGGACATCCAGGAGCTGTGTCCATGTCCATGGATCTTACTGTGTATTTGTGTATTGTGGGAGTCAGGGAGTGCTCCCTAAAATATCCAGATCCAATGCAGCAAGAATCCTAAGGTTAAAGTCTGTTTGCTATGCTCTGATACAATGAACCATGGCCAACATCAGGTGGGCAGAAGCTCTCACGGGCTCCTGCCCCACAGGGGGACCTGGTGAAGGTACCACAACAGGCCTGGCTGCTCACCCAGGCACCTTGAAGTCCTTACGGCAGAGCCCAGATACAACATGCCTACAAAACAGCTTTCTTCTGGTTGGGTTTTAATTTCATAGCCTGGCACAGAAAGGAAATGTGAAGAAATTTACTGAAATACCTGCATGACTTCAGCAGAGAATGATGAGAGAAAGTGAAATCATGAATGTCATATAAATTTTGGCTCACACTGACATGTTTACTTGTGGTAGAGTCCTTACAACAGAGCAGTATTTTGAAATCAAGTGCTGCAACACCTGTAGACGAAATGAAGTAATTTCAGGGCAAAGCCACAGTCTTATCTCAAAAGTACCTTGCTTGGGTGGCTGTCACAAGGATAAACCTGAATCTTAATGTTTTTCAGTTCTGCCTAACCAGAAAGTCTCAAATGCTTCAGCAGCACATACTGCATTAAGATGAATTTCTGGGCCCAGGGAACTCCAATTATTAATATTTCTTGTGCAAAATGCAGCTCACCAAAGAATCCCAAATCCTTATTAGGGAACATGGTTCTCCCCCACAGGACTCAGCACCCACTTCCCCCATCCAAGCACAAACATATCTAATGCCTCGAGACAGAACAACACTTTGGAAAGCTTCTACCTCTACAGTGTTCACTGACAAAGAATCTGACCCAATTTCCCAGGAGCTTGCTTGGCAGTGCAAGCATTGAATCTTCCCTTCTCTTACGCTTGGGAAGCCATGAAAGAAAGTAAAGGACTTTCTATGGAAAGGACCTGCGTGGAGCCTCCTGCCTGCTTTTTTTACAAGCCCACAAGGAGATAATGTGGGAACCACTAAAACAGTGAGAGTGCACATTAGGGCAACCTTCCTGCTTGGAAGAACACCCCCTGTCTTGCTTGAGCAACACGATCAGCTCCTCAGCAGGTGCTGAGCCTTTATCTCTGAATGCTTTGGTCTAGCTGAGCTACACCATTAAAGCAGGACCAAAGCTGTCATGAGAGCCTGCTTCCCAAGGTGCTTGGTCCATGCCATGCATGGTCACAGATGCTGATGTGCTCCAAATCTTGCCTGCTGCTGCTGCTATGACCCCTGCTGCTATGTCTGGGGGCTCTTATAAGAGCTTGTGTTGCAAATGGATGTCTTTCTTGCCTTTCCCAACTCAAAAACAGACAATTTATGGTCTACTCTGTGTGCCTCAATGGAGCCTTGGCCAACCTGGAGCTGCCTGATGTTTGTGAAAACACACAATGGTGTCCTTTCCTTCTCACTGACTCTTTGTTCTGAGAGGGGGCAATGGGACATCTCCAGACAAAAAGAGAATTTTACCCAGAGCAGGTCCTGCTCTGCCTCCCAGGTGTTGCTGGAATGGGATCTCACAGAGCTGTAACAGAGGCCCATGGATCTTCTCTTGGTAGGATGGGACAGCCTCCTCAAGGCTGTATTCATCCACTTGCTCTCAGCCCTTGTTACAGACATGTGCACCATGAGAGTGTGGTGACAGCTCTCAGAGGGAGAGTGGGTGAACACTTTTTCTGTAATAAAGTGGTTGTCTTAATAACACAACTAGAGCTGTGCTCTCTAGGCAGCCTGGGGTGGTTTTGCTTGTTTGTTTTTCTTGTTGAAATTAAAATGTATTTCAACTTCAGGATTTTATTTTCTCCACTCCCCCTCCTGCAAGTCTTGCAGCTAAATGCAAGATGGGAAAGATAAGCCTGAGACTGGAACTTGGCTTGAAGAGGTTCAAGCCTGACAGTGAGCCACAAAACATCAGCATTCAGTCCATGTGGAACACTGACATAGCTCCTGTACCCCAATGAACATTTCTGAGGACTGTTTTAGTCTTAAATATCTCCTCTCTGCATGCTTACATGTTTGTCCAGACCCCTTGCTGGTCTCCCACCCTCCTGCAGACCTCCTGTAAGAGGTGTAGGACACATGAGAGACAAAGCTACCTTAGCTATTTCTACCTTGCATAATCAAAGAGCATGTTGAATGTAAGCTACACACAGCAATCCATCGGAAAAAGTCCTCCTTTCACCCAGCTGTAGGGCATCCTGCACCCTAAAGCTGTGTGTGTGGAGCTGCACTGTTTCCCCTAGTTCAGAGCAGAGCCATGGAGGCTCTTAACCAGGTGCAGCAGCATCCTGCATCTCCTTAGGGCAGATCCTTTTCTTGCTGAAACTTGAGGTCAGCAATAGATCAGTCAAACAACTGTTGCAGAGTTTGGCAGGTACACCAAGGGCAGTATCTCTGCAGTCACCAAAAGCAGCATGGACTTTTAAGGACTACAGCTCAGCACGTTTCTGGGTTTCTATCAAGGGATTTAAGCTGCTTTGCAACAGCTACAGTCAGGTGCTAGCGTTACCAAAGTAGGTTTACATGGATTTTCAACACCACAGGAAATGTGTTCATAGTCTGCTTAATGGCTCTGATTCAACTCTCTGCACTGTAAGTAAAGACAAATTAATTTGCAAACTATAGAATAATTCCAGTAGGAGACCTAAGGCTTTTTTTCTTTATGAAGGCATGCTGGACCTGGCTAGGATAGAGTAAATTTTCTTCGTAACAACTCCTACGGTGCTGTGGTTTAGATTTTGACCAAAACAATGCTGATAACACAATAATTTTTAGCTGTTGCTGAGTGGTGTTTGCACAAAGTTGGGGCCTTCTCTGTTTCTCACTCTGCCCTTCCACTGACTAGATTGGGGGTGCACAAGAGGCTGGGAGGGGTCACAAACAGGAAAATGACCCAAACTGACTGAAGGGATAGTCACTGCCATGTAGCATCATGCGTAGCAATGAAAAGGAGGAGAGGGCAATTTTAGGAGCCTTAACCATCTTTTGCTCAGCAACTGGCTGGGTATTGGTCTACCCATCGTGGATGATGAGGGACTGTCCTTGCATCACTTCTTTTGCTTGCTTTCTCTCTTCTTATGTTTCTCCTTCATTTATTGAACAATAACTGGTTTGTTTTGGTGGTTTTTTTTACCTTGACCCTTAAGTTTTCTTGCTTTAACTCTCCTTTTCTTCTTCCCCTGACTGACTGAGGGTGGGGGAGAAGTGAGTGAGCAACTGTGTGATGCTTAGCTGCCCACTGGGGTTAACCCATGACAGGAGGCTACTCTATGAAAAAGGGATGCATGTCTGCTTTTAGCAGAGAGAAGGATTACACCAAGGGAGGGAGGATTCTATATTCCATCTGATTTGGCCATAACAATGAGAGACTAAAACACATCGCATCGTTTTTATAAGGTTTTATTTATCTGACTTAATGTGGAAGAGCAGCAGAAAAAGAAAATACCACTGTTTCAAGTGCCTTTTGGGGGGCACAGTATTACTTGACACAATGTCCTATTGGCATCCTCTTCTTCTGTAGGAACCGTGACACACTGGCCCACATGACTACACCCAAAGAAATGCTCTCCAACGTGGTGCAAGCTCTGCGATACCTGGATTCCCGTCTTCCAAACGGCAGCCACGTGATTTTAACAGGCTTGGTAGATGGACGCTTCCTCTGGGATAACCTGTATGACAGATACCATCCTCTAGGTAAATATGAGGTGTTGTGGGGTTCCTCCTGGTTATCTGCCTGCTTATGTTGCCTTCTCACCCAAAATAATTCATGGATCTATCGACAATTTCAAGCAAACCTGACAGAGTGGAGGAGGTCTGAGAAATATGAGCCAGATATTGGCTATGCAGCAGAAGTAGGAAAGACAGCTCTTACCATCCACAGTGCAGGACAGGGCAGACCCCTGTCCTGTCTGGTTCCCCCACCAGCCAGACCTACTCAGCTCCAAACCATGCTCAACACAAGCTGTGCATGTGGAAACAAGCTGTTCTACCTCAGCCTTGGCCCAGACTTGTGGCCGGCTTGCCTGCACTTCATCCTGGTTGTTGTTACAGGTGGAGCCAGACATTTACTTAACACCCTCACTCACTGGCTGACAGATGGTGTGGTGAAACTGGATGTGGCCCAGGACAGAAGATTAAGTCACGGGGTTGCAAAAGACTGATTATATAGAGATAAATAAATTATATACAGAAAAATAAATTTTCCACCAGTCCTGGATGCCTGCTACATCCTACGCTACCTACAGGTGTGACTATTGAAACCTCATACCATGTGCAGGCGTGTTTTGTGGCATTCCCTCAGAGTGTTTTTGCTGCAAAGTGCTTTGGGGCATTTTTTCCAGAGATTTGGAGGTTGCCTTTGGCAGCCTGTCATCTCAGGGCATGAATCAAACTGTATATCTGACCATTAACAGACCACTTGCTCCTTGGCTTCATCCTGTGCCAAGCAGTAAGGAGAAATATCATCTCGGGGAGGTGCATTCATTTGCACTGAAGTGTGGCATCCATCCGTGGTTAGTCTGATAGCTGTGTCTCTAAGGTCAGCGTGGCACATTTCCCTGAGGATGTGGAAAGTTGTGGGGTAGGGAAGCTTGAAAGCTGGTTGCAGAACCCCTTCTCTACAGGTTCATACCACCCCTCAGTGGATAAAGAATGTGAAACACTTTACACAGGTAACAAAGGAAGTTTTTATGCAAACAGCAATAAATAAGTCCCCTGATCTCTAGTCAAGGGTGTGTACAAGGAACCACCGTGGGCATTCTGCGGCTAAATTTTAGACCAAAAGCATGTAGTTATTGGTATTTGAGTAAAGGAATCTCTTTTGCATCTTTAGCAAGCAGGAAGTTGTTTTCATCTTAGTTCTCATAAGCCAAGAGAGAGAAGCTAAATCACATCATTAAAATGGTAGATTACAACTTCAGATGATTTTGGCAACCACTGGGTAATATAGCTTTTAGCAGACTCTGTGCTGTGGTTTCCCCAAGGTTGCCCAATCATTGCCATCACCACATCTTCCTCATTTCTATTCCTGATACCTTGTTACATTTTTCTCTAATAAACACTATACTACTACCAATGAAAAAAAAAAAAAGTAAATAAGAAAAAAAGAAAAATCTGGCCCCTTTCAGGGCAGGGAGGACCTGTGATAATTATTTTTTAGTCACATAAACCCACTTCTTTCCTTGAGTGCATGTTTATCACAGGGAGGGTTCTTCTACCAGATATCTAACTGTCAGAGACAACACATAGCATTTTTTGGCATCAGCCAAATCAGGCTGATGATTAACTATAGGACCAGGTGGAAATTTTTCGCAGGGGCTGATTTGCCTTAGAGGGACCCAATTAATCCTAAGCAACACATTTTGCACCAAAGGATCCTTTCTGGCAGATCCTCTGACAGGCTGTGAGCACATTTCCCCACTTGACTGCCAGTCAGGCATGACCAGATATCTGTCTGGCTTTCTGCAAATCCCTGGTCCCCCTGACAGTCCATCCCAGGGCCTGATGCTTCAGGCTACAGAGGTCTGGTACATCCCCAATATCCAGCAGAGACACTAGACCCTAGATCTTTGAACTCCCCATCTTTTGCTCCCTGGGCAGCTGATACTGCTGGTGGGTGATGGGCAGCTGTGAGTTAGGCAGGAATCACATCTGTATCAGAGAGCCACTGCAAAGGAACCTGAGGAGCCCATTTCACTTGTGCGAGATCATACTTTGCAGTTCTTAAAACAACAATAAAAATTTCATATTTCAGCACCACAAAAATAACAAAGCCTGACAGAATGATTGTTGCACTACAAACTCAGACAACTGAGTGGCCATTTAATTTGCTTCTTGATTGTAGCTATCAAAGAAGCAAAAAGGTCAAGAAAATGGATCATTGTCTTCGCAAGCCAGGCTATCGCATAGCACAATGAATTTTGGGGAATGTCAGCTGGGTGTTTGACTTGGTGCTTGAATTTGCTCACCCACACAAGCATATCCACTTCCCTCCTTGACAGCAAAATTGTTTCTCCCTTGTAAGGCTAACCTCTGTGAGGAAAATGTGAAATTCAAAGTGTATACAGGCACCTTTCAACTTTGCAAACCCTGCATTTCTTTGGTGGGTGAGAGACACGTTAATGTTTCAGTCACGCACTTCAGAGATTGGCATAGGTTGTGATGACTAACCTCACATGCAAGACAAATCACTTGTGAAAGGCAGGACAGGGATGTGGGAGAAGCAAAAGCAGCTCTACATGCCTGGGGACACAGGCACCTTAGCAGAAAGGATGCATTGGTGACACCTCTATTGCACTGTGGCTATGGTTGTGGGAGGGTAACCTGAGGGTAGGGTGGAGCTCCTGGGGTACCTCTCCCCACCAAAGGGTGTAGTGCACAGGAATGCACAGACCTGCAAAATAAAGTTACATTTGGCCATCAGGCACATGAAGTTTCCCTCTCTGTGCTTTGCAGGGCAACTGAACAGGGATATCACATACAGTCAACTTTATTCTTTCCTCGACTGCCTCCAGGTAAGGTCTTCAGCTGTAGCTTACAACACCCCCTTTTCCTCTTGGCCCTCTTCTAAAGCCCCTCTCTCCATGCCTGCCCAGGTGAGCCCCTGCAGTGGCTGGCTGACCCCCAACGAGACTCTCAGGAATTTGACTTCAGAGGTAAGTCTCTTAACCATCACCTTCTTGCACAGACACTCTTCCAGTTTGTCCCTGTGTCTGAGGATATAAACCCAATTATCTCAAAGGCAAGACATCAGCACACTTTTCTCTTCTAAAGACTAGGAGATGTGGAAACATCTGTACCCATCCTTTCAAATGCTTCTCAGGCTCTGGGATGCACCATGCTCAAGTTAAGGGATTCATAAAGATATTCCTGCTACAATCTCTCAGCTGCCCAAATTTATTCTCAAGGGATGTGATCTCCTCGAGACAAAACTGTTCAGGTTCATGTTCTTTAAGAAGAAAACGTACCTGATAAGAAAGAAAAGGCTTGTGAAGCAAGTAGCTGTTGATATGACAAGCCAGCAGCATAGATTTCGCTGGCAGCAGGAGCAGGTCCTGAGAGCAAGAGCCTTACCCTGTTTTCATTTGGGATTTGTGCTAATCCTCCTCAGACGCTTTTACTGTGGACTTAATCACCAGATGGTGTGACCAGGGAGCATCCAGAGTCAGTGCAGGAATGGGAACAGACAGAACAGAGATGTCTTAAAACTCACCCTAAAAATCTGGCTGCATAATTGAATGACACATAACATCAACCACTTATTCTTTTATGGTGCAAGCTGATTTTTAACCCCAGCAATTCCCTGCAGCCATGTGAAAGAGCCAGTAAACAAATATCAAAGGCGTCATCTCTGTGTATATATGTATCAATGTTTGCATTCACTAAACAACAAAATATAGCCTTAATTTCACCAAGGTTTACATATGTATTTCATTTTAGGCCCTGTCCCTCTTGACTTCAGAGATTGCAGTTAAGCACATTCCTAAATCTTTGCAGGATTGTAGCTTATATATTCGCACCAACAATACAGAATATAGAGTACATGTAACTTCTGTCCATGAACAATGCATATGTCTGCAGGGTATGAATTAATCTTCTTTCTGAGCCCCTGTCTGAAACTAATTGTCTATGTTATTATCCAAACTGCACAATTTAAATATTTAGGAGATCCTGATCTCTGTTATGGCTGTAGAAATTACACTGGATGTATCAGTTAGGCAGACGCTCAATGGAGGCAATTTACTCTGCTGAAAGCAAGGGCAGAATTTGGTCTGGATAGATAAGCATTAGCATCCACAACACAGTAGCAGGAAAGATAATGGAAAAGAGAACATTTTTCATGTAGAAAAGTTTTGGGTTTCTTTAAGAGGAATGAAGATGACTGGGCTGCCACTCACAATAGGCCTCCAAACCAAAGGAATTCAGAATATTTATATCAGTGTAGGGACACTACTATAAGATGTCTTCCATAAAACAACCATATGCTGTGATAAACTTAGGAAACCAGCTGAAGCCTCAGTGCAACCTGCAAGGATGTGTTGCATGGTAAGTTGGGTAACCAAGCCAGCTTACGTTATGATGAAGATTCCCATTTCACCTTCTTTCCCTCAGCTAATATGACACCATTAGCTTTCAAATTCCTGGCTACACATCGGTGACAAAAGCTGAATCCATGCAAAGCAGCATGAATAGCAATGAATCATCATTAAATCACTTGTTTTTTTGCAGAGAGCATTACAACTTTCCAATGTCCTGAAAGAAATAGCGAGATCTGAGAAATTTGCCAACTTTGATATTTTCTACATGGATTTCCCACTGAAACAAAGTAAGTAGCTTTTTTCCTATGTTTCTCACAAAGTATTTAGACAACTGCTGGGCTGCTAATATGCTCTTTATGTTTTAGCTCTGTACTGGGAGAAAGGCAGAATAACCAGCCAGGCTAGATGACCCTGCTGGCAGGGCTGTGGCCAAGGGGGACCCCTTAATGTCATCTCCTGGCTTCCCTGATTGGGATAACCATGGACCTTTGCCAAGACAAGACCCCAACACCAGCCTGGAGAGCACAACCTCTCCACTGCTTCCAGCTGCCAACACCCTCAACCCCAGTGATGCACAGCACACTGGCCACTTTCTATTCAGTGCCAAGGTGACAGGGACAGCAGATGTGCTTCTGCTAAATATGCCTCCTGCTTGTCACTGCAGCTTCTCAGGCTGATGAAGAAAAAAAAGAAATCTCAAACCTATGTTGGTCCATAAGATTTGGTTTTATTTTTGATCATTGCTTTTATAGTGGGTCATCCAGGCTGGAGATGCATACCTGCAACAGTGAAGGTAGTCTCCTTGAGCTGTAGTTTACTGTATCACTGACTGGGCTTCATGCTGCCTCCTCTGAGAGGAGCAGTGCCTCAGGGAGAACTTTTATCAGCCATTTTCCTGCCTGAATAACACAGCCACCCTCTTAACTCATGGTTCTCAAAAGCAGAAGCACCTCTCCCAGGAATAACTAGCTTCTTACCTATAGTTCTTTAAACACCTACATACTACTCTAACTTTTGACTTGAAGAGCTTACAAAACTTGTCCTTCTGTGATCTTTAGTGACATTAGGTAAGCACATTACCTAAATCATATTCTTCTGCAACTGACACTTTAAAATTACTAAAAGAACTAGGAAATTTTCCTTGTTACCATGAGTGTGAGTGGGCAGTGTTCCTGTGGGGCTGAGGACAGACACCTGGCTCTGGATCCCTCTCAGCTCCACTTCCCTTGCAAGATGCACATGGGTCCAGCTTCTTTAGTGACATTAGGTAAGCACATTACCTAAATCATATTCTTCTGCAACTGACACTTTAAAATTACTAAAAGAACTAGGAAATTTTCCTTGTTACCATGAGTGTGAGTGGGCAGTGTTCCTGTGGGGCTGAGGACAGACACCTGGCTCTGGATCCCTCTCAGCTCCACTTCCCTTGCAAGATGCACATGGGTCCAGCTTGAGGCATAACCAGATTCATCA